GAAATTATTAAGCCCTTGAGCAAGATACTATAAAGTGTATAACCTTCATCAATTTAGGAAGGCCTTACAAAAGTGTGGATTAATGCCCAAAATCTATCACGGCTGTTCCAAATACACTTCAAATTGATGCTTGTGCAAAAATTCCGTTTTAGTATTGAAGAGTAGCACATTATCGTGTAGCTGAGGAGCATCTGTTTAAATAAGTGTACTCTTGCCACTTAGATCTGTTAAATACAGTCCGTAATGTAGTGTGAAATATTGCAAAATGCAGCTTTAATGTGTCAAACATGAGAAATACAAAATGACAATTTGGTACCAAAGACTTGCTATGTGTTGAGTTAGAGGCTCTTGAACACTAGGCTGAGCTTCTTAAGCTATCTGATTTGATTACGGCTATTCTAAGATTGGATGCAATTTAAGAGATACACCAAGCTATAGAAGTATATTAAGCTTGAATAAAGATATAAATCTAGCTGCAGTTTCCCAACTGGTTGGCTATGGAACTCCAGCAGCAAATGGGAGTTACTGTAAGGCAATCTATTCATCCATTTGAGCACCAAATATTCTATATAAACTAAATATAACCCACATAGCAAATAGATAGGGTTGTGATGAAAAATAAGTTTGCTTGACATGATCAGTAAATTCAGTTGTTTTTCGTCATTCTCTATTTTATTAATCATTGAGTTGTTGTTGTTGAGTACCATGGAGTCGGTTCTGACTCATAGCGACCCTGCACAGGGTTTCCGAGGCTGTAAATCTTTACGGGAACAGAACGCTTCATCTTTCTCCCGCGGAACTGCTGGTAGTTTCGAACTGCTGACTTTGCAGTTCACAGCCCGATTCGTAACCACTATGCTACCAGAGCTGAGTTACTTAAATTAAGTACTATCCCATGGATTCATAAAATTCTGACATCCTTACAATGGTTAGGTATCTGTTCTAGTTTGAAGAATTTAGCAAGTATTCATTTAGAAGTGAAACACTTCTACTGTAAACATTTTTATTCATGTTAAGATTAAAATTTCACAAGAATTAATGGAGGTACAGTGGGTTCAAAATTGGGCTAACCAAAAGGTTGACAGTTCAAATCCACCATCCTCTCTGTGGGAAAAAGATATGTGATAGCTTTTGATACCCTATATGAAGCAGTCTACTCTGTCCTATATGGTCAAAATGTGTTACAATAGACTATGGGAGTAACTTTGGTTGATTTTGTAGACAGGAGCCTGTCTCCCAAAAGATGTGTTGAGGAGTGAGTTAAGCAAGGCAGCAAACCCACTAGTAATGCTGAAACCTTTCCAGGGTGGTGGCTGATGTTGATTATGTGCTTGAGTTGGTTCTAACTCATAGCAACCTGCATGGTGTTTGTTTCCAAAGCCTCATCTTTCTCCTGCTGACCTTTCAGTTAGCAGCCCAGCTCATCATCTACTACACTAGCAGCACTCCTGAAGCCTTTCCACAGTTGTTTTTTTTGTTTAACCTGTGATGGTAGCTTAAGTAACTAAGGTTAGCAAGCTAAAGAAGTTAAAACAAATGAATAAAGCAGTGCTTGCTTTTGTTTCATTGTGGCTAAGTGACTACTAGGCAGTTCCAACTCATAGTGACCTTGTATTGAGTTTTCCAGGAGCAGCTGGTGGGTTTGAACTACCAAGCTTGTGGTTAAAAGTCCAATCTTATCCTACAGGGTCACACTAGGACTCTAAAAGCCTACAGCTCCCGGTATTTCCAGATAGTCTCCCATCCAAGTACTAACCAGGCCCGATGCATCTTAGCTTCTGAGATCAGACTAGATTGAGTTCAACTTGCCTTAAATGAGTCCTGGTTGCTTAATGTCCATTTGGACAACATCTGACCACATACATGTTCTTAGTCCCATAAGGATTTTTTGTTTTTAAAGGGAAAACAGCTCTTTTTTTATTTTCCCTAGTGGTTTTAAGAAATCCTGGTGTGGCACTGCAGGATAATGGACTAGACTGCAAGGTCAGTTTGAGCCGCTAGGTTGGTTCAACCCCACCAGTCACTCCTTGGAAACGCTATACAGGGTTGCTATGAGTCGGAACCAAGTCGATGGCACTTGTTAAGACCCTAAACCCAGACTCTTGCAGCACTGGACCACAGGTGGGATACAGAAAGATGAGGCCTAGGACATGGAATTGGGTGCAGGCTCTCTGCTTTATTCAGTGGTGGTGGGGGCAGCAGGGACCTGGCTAGGCTGTTCTACAGCAGCTCCTGCAGGAAGCAGCAGCAGCAACAGTAAGACCCAGAAGCAGGCTCCCATAATGTGGTGTTCACTCAACATCCAAATCACATGTCCTACTTCACAGAATGTATTGTGGACATTAAACAACACGTTGTTCTTGTTATGTGCTGTCAAGTCAGTTCTGACTCAGTGACCCTGTATAGGGTTTCTGAAGAGAGCAGCTGGTGGGTTTTAACCACCAGCCTTGTGGTTCTCTCTCCAGTTCTAGTCCTACAGACCAGGACTCCAAACAACACAGTGTTGTTGTTAGGTGTCATCAAGTCAGTACCAACTCTTAGCAACCCTATGCACAACAGAACGAAACAATGCCTGGTGCTGAGCCAACCTCACAATCTTTGCTATGCCTGAGCCCATGGCTGCTGCCACTATGCCTATTTATATCACTGGGGAGGGGTCTTCCTCTTTTTCTCCGATCCTCCACTTTACCACTAAACATGATATCCTTTCTCCTGATAATATGTCCAAAGTATGAGAGATGAAGTCTGACCATCCTGGCTTCCAAGAAGCATTCTGGCTATACTTCTTCCAACACAGACTGGTTTGTTCTTTTGGCAGTCCATGGTACTTTTAATATTCTCCAACACCATAACTAAATGGTTATTAATTCTTCTAGTCTTCCTTATTCACAGTCCAACTTTCACATGCATATGAGGTTATTAAAAAATACCATGGCTTGGGTCAGGTGCACCTTAGTCCTCATACTGACATCTTTGATCTTCAGCACTTCAAAGGCTGTGGTCTTTGATCTTCATCAGTTAAGTATTTTAAGTCCTCTTTGTTTTCAACAAGCAAGGTTGTATCCTCTACATATCGCAAGTTGTTAATGAGCCTTACCCCTCCCTATCCTGATACCACATTTTTCTTCATATAATGCAGCTTCTTGAATTATTTGCTCTATATACAGACTAAGTATGGTGAAAGAATATAACTCTGGTGCACACTTTTCCTAATTTTAAACCATATGCCGTTCCTTTGTTCTGTTCGAACAACTGCCTCTAGGTCTATGTACAGGTTCTTCATGAAAACAATTAAGGTTATGGAATACTTATTCTCCAGTGTTGTCCATAGCTTGTCATGATCCACACAATCAAAACAACACATACCAGGACTTACAATCAATAAAACAGATGGGCCTATTCTAAGAATTCAGCACTGTTAATTTCTAAGAAAAATGTATCTGGTTTTTTAGTTTGTAAACACTGTCAGTTGTTTGTTCAGCACATTACAAAGTTTTCATTGTAGGGTTTCCAAATTGGAACATTCTCATCATGTATAGTCTTTCCAAAAGATGTTCATTTAGTAAAAAAAACCCTAATTGTCTTAAAGGTTAAGTGGTTTGTCCAAGATGATAGTATGGTAATTGTTGTGTGCCATCAAGTTGGTTCTGACTCATAGTGACTCTGTATAGGGTTTCCAAGAGCAGTTGGTGGGTTTGAACTGCTGACCTTGAAGTTAGCAGTCTAGTGTTTATCCAACAGTGCTACATTAGAGCTTATAGTATGGTTTTGTTGTTGTTAAGTGCCGTTGACTCGGTTTCAATTTATAGCAACCCTGTACAGGGGTTCTGAGGAGTCTAAGACCATGAGTCCATAGTATGGTTATAATACAAGAAAAAAAAATCATTAATCAGGTCCCAATTGGCACTGCAGGTTAATGCTCTGGACCACAAAGTTGTTCTGAACTGCAAGGTTGGTGGCTTGAACTCACCCAGGCATTCCTTGGAAACCCTATACCGGGTCACTATGAGTAGGGACCAACTAGACAGTACTTAACAACAACAATTAAGAATAACTAGAAATATTCTGTGGTCACTTTACCTTCCTTAAATGAAGGGAGAAAAGTACCAAACCAAACAATAAACAAAACCCCACCTCTGATTTAAACAGTATAGTACTGTTTAGGTGTTGAATACATTCTTTTTCAAGATTAGCATTTTAGGCTCTAATGATTATTTTTCATAACTAAATAATCATTTACTCAAACAAATGGGTTTGGTGCAAAAGACACAGTTCGGTTTTAGAACTTATAATTACAAGGGACCCAGTATTTATAAACATTATACACATTTAAGGGGAAAAAAAAAACAACAAAAAAAAAAACCTTCCTAAGTAGAGGATTATAGGATACTGGAATCTTTCACGAGTCTGCAGAGTTTCTTTCCCTGGAATCATAACCATAGTTAAAATTAAAAGTAAACTCCCGCAATCTGAATTTGTGTAAATTACAGCTGTGTTGGTAAACAGAAAGAATTTCAATATGTTTTAAATCCATAACGCCATTACAATATTTAGTCTGACTCTGTAATTCTTATTTAAAACATACAATATATAGGGATTTAAAAATATTACATTGAGGGGTAAGTACTGTCAGAGCTGCTCCCAATGACCAATCAGATGATTTTAAATTGGGGAAAGTTAAGACACTTGCAAGCTGGCACAATTTTACATTCTTTTTATATTTCCGTAAGCACCTGTGGAAGGGAGCCACTTGCTCATATTTTTCTCTCTGTAGCAGTGAGCTCATATAAAACTTGTTCCCCAATGGAAAGTAAAATACTCACTCTTCTTTTGTGGTTTGCAGTCAACTGCTAAATAATGCTTATTTCCAGAGCATGTTCTGGTTAGGTCTGTTGATTCAAGACATTCAATCACACAATCAACCATTTTAATCAACATTTACAGATCACCAACTATGTGCTGAATTCAGCTGTTTCAAATGGAACCAGAACAGCAAGAAGTTTTTAACGAATTACCAGAACTTTTATTTTTGCTTAATTTTATTAAAAAAATAAATATGTCATAAAGCTTTTTTTTTTTTTTTTTTTCCTTTAGGGAGAAAAAAGGAACACGTTTCATAAAATCAAATAAGCAACGGTAAGGTGTCTTAACTTTGAAAAAGATTGGGGACACTGGTTTTACAAGGTTATAATCAAATGAAAGAACAACTGACTCATATAACAGCCATAGTTGGCCGTTTCATGCCAAAGGCAGCAAACAACAGGATCAACTAGGGCAAAATAAATAACTGTGTGGAAGCCCTGATAAGTGCTTAAACAGACTGATTCACTGAGACACCAGTATAGATATATCTTGCTTTAAACAACATAGAAATTCCTGGAAAGTTATGTGTATATGAAAAAATTGCCAACATACTAGGAGAGCTTGATATCTGAAGGAATTCTGTGGTAAACTGTTTTGAATAACCACCTCCACTTTTATAAGCCCAAGTATTTGCTTTGCTAAAAGCGAAGTATACCTAGCTGCTACTTCTCTGAACTGAGCCATCAGCATATTCACCTAACGGTGTTCCAGCTGGGCCAGTGGCACAATTCTCAAGTTTGTGTTTCTATTATGTAAGTAGTGTAAGATACAGAGGCAGCCATGGAACCTAGCAGCATCTGGCAAAGCAGGCCTAGGGGTGGGATTATCACCCTTAACAGTAACTCCAAGTCAACAAATACTTTTGAGAGTCTACTTTGTACAAAGCACAGTAATAAACGGTGTCAATTCTATTGTAGATGTACTTCCTGTCTTTAAAACCTTTTATCAGGGGCCAGACCTGGAACCCCAAAAGAAAGTAATACTTTTAAAACCTCAAAACTGGCTTAAATTAGCTGTCTAACTCCTTCAAATGGGGATGGATGATAATGGAAGAGACTGAGCTTTTCAAGGCTCATGTTTAACAACATGGGAATTGTCTCTCAAAACTAGTAAATGAAAAATTTCGCTGGTGAGGAAAACTTTTCAGTTTTTTTTTCTTTAGTACCCTAAACAGAACTCTGGGTTCTCAGGCAAACTGTGTTAGACAGTTAATGTCAGTAATGCCTTCCTATGTGATACATTTCAGTCTTACTGATAGAAAATTTCTTTCTACCCACCAGAGTTTCATGAACTCATCCTACACCATAGCAGTAATGCTTTGGATAGGGAATATGCATGGTAGTACCAGTTCCAGTCAGTTTTATCATTGTAAATAAATGTAATGCTCACTTTGCTCAGAACCTCCATTTCACCTCACCTACCTTCTACCAGGCCCAAGCCACATTTTCTAGTTAGGATGATGTTCAGTGTCTTAAGAAAAAAAAAAAAAAAAATCTCTATTAACATTGCTGACTATATGTACAAGTGTGAATGGAAACAGTATGTAATCTGTAGTCTTTTCCACACTGAGTACACTAATGACAGTAAGTAAAGGATAAGTGGACATTTAAAAACTTGTGTTTTCTTAAAAACAAAACAAAACAAAAAAAATCATTCACTTTCTAGCACTTAAAAAATGGGTCTGAAAAGTGCCCTATTAATGTCCAATGCTGTTCCCCACCCATCCCCACCCATCCAAAACCTGCTACAAATGCTGGATTGAGTTCATATCAAATAATTTAGCAGTACCAAGATTTTTCAAATGGAAACAGTGTTACTGACTTCTTCATATTGAATAACAAAATAAGGGTAACTCTGGTCATCATTAAAAATGACAAAAATCTGAGGCTCAAAGAAATTATCCACACAGGAGTCATACAGGTCGCTGGTGACACTGCCAGGGCTGAGTGGAGGGGGCCTTCTCATGCCGTGACTGCCCATTGTGTATCTGCCAGTCAGTACTTTGGCCAGAAACATGAAATGAACTCCTTTGGAGGACTTCTTAGAAAAGTTATGAGAGTAGCTTGCCTTCTTTGCAAAATAACTGCCTTGTCCAAACATGGTAGCATGCTTTCCACAGACTCGAGGATCAAAGTTGTGCTTACAGATTCCATCTACCACATCTTGGGATGTTCCATGAAATAAATGTCTCTCGTTTATTATTCTGTCACGGCCAAACATTTTCCTGTTCATATATTCTTTTTTCCTAATGCAAAGAGGAGATACGGAATTTGAGAGACGTATAGATCAATTTAACAGTTGTAGACATAAACATTGAGGCAAAATGCCATCAAAGACCACAGTCAAAGCTTAAATTTTTGCTTTCTCTTACATTTCATATCTAGATCTTTTATCTTCCTTTCCTTAAGATCTCTGTCTTGTCTAACTTCATTGATTTGAGTATCTCTTAATTCTGACATTCTTCCAACATGCACAGACACCTTCTGCATCACACTAATGTGCTGACTTGGGAGACGGCATAAAGCGGTTACGAACCAAGAACAAGGCCTCTGATGCTAGACTGCCTGTGTTTAAATTCCATATCTAGGAGCTGTGTGACCTGTAGCAAATTACCAAATTTCTCTATAAAGTAAAGATGGCATAGACCTGTTGTGAGAATTACAACAGAGTTGATGTATATTCATTCCTATGCAAGTGTTTACTGGAGCCCTGGTGTGGCGCTGTGGGCTAATGTGTCAGACTGCAAAGTCGTCTGAACTGCAAGATCAGCGGTTCAAGCTCACCAGCTGCTCCTTGGAAACCCTATACAGGGTCGAAATGGGTTAGGATCGACTCGATGGCACTAACAAGTTTTTACTATCATGTTATGTATTTGTCATTGTTGTTGTTGTTATGTGCCATTGAGTCGGTTCCGACCCATAGCGACCCTGTATAGGGTTTCCGAGGGTGTAAATCTTTACGGGAGTAGAAGGCCTCATCTTTCTCTCGCGGAGCAGCTGGTAGTTTCGAACCGCTGACCTTAAGGTTCGCAGCCCGATTCGTAACCACTACGCTACCAGAGCTCCTTGTATTTGTCATTAGCTGAGTTAAAGATAAGCTCTCCTAAACTTTTCACACTATGGACTTACCTTTTATATTTTTCCCAAAGAAACTGGTTTTGAACTCTCAATATTTGCAAAATTCTGTATTTAAACTCAGGCACAGTCTTATGAAAGAGATTGTAAATGATTCGGTAACTTTTGTCCTCTGCAGAAACAGGCACTTGGATGAAGTCCTGAGATGGATGCATATAAACCCAAGTTTCAGGGTAAAAGTTTGCAGAGGTGACCCCATCTGGGCAGATGACTTGTGATGAAGAGGTTGCTTCAAGAGGCAGAGAAGCCTGTGTGGGAACACCACCAAGTGTCCTGGAAGGGAGAGGAAGGAATGTTATAATGTTCAATACTAGTCTCTAATATTATAATCTGTATAGTTTACATGCTTCTGTCTGAAAAACAAAGAAAAAATGCTATCTATTTGAGAGAGAAAAAAAACAACTTTTAAAGCAAATACTGCCTGTACATGGATAACCTATTATTAGCTTCTTCCTGACTTCCTCCCTGTGGAGAAAACTCTGGAATGTATTGCTGCAAGGCAAGCAAGAGCCAATTTATAAATATCTTTGCTTTCTGGACCCTGTATTCCTCTTTTACCTATATATTTAAAGAAACTCTGTTTCAAGGGAGCAATGATAATTTATAAACTTTCTTCAAACTTTGCTGCTACTAAACAGAAACGGTATCATTAAAGGCTCTGTGTGAAGGGGAAGAGTGAGAAGATACAATGTTATAACCTTTTTTTTTTTAAGTTTACTTTGATTTCTCCATAAAAGCAAACAAAATCTTGGAAAATCCAATGAAAGCTGGTAAGTATTTGCTTCATTTTCCAAGATTACATAAAATATCTAGGACATCACAATCCTACTCAAACATTATAGATCTGGGTGTGCTGAAGATGGAGCTAATCACTGGAAACTCTAGACACCAGGATGCATATCATATCCTAAACCTTTAGATTAAGGTCTGGCCTTTGATGAATATAAATGAGCAGCAGCTTTCATTAGTTACTTATTTCTGCCTGATTAAATACTTAAAAATCATACTCCTTGGTCATTTTCAAAACAGAAAAAGGGAAGAAGCTGAGAGAAAGGAAATCTTAGAGTACTATAATACTCATCAATACATAGTGGTGACAATGAAGCAGTGTTGTCTGCTTAACAGGAATTTTCAAGAGCTTTATGACAAAGAGGTTTCAACAATGTGTGGACAAACTTCTATCTCAAAAGAACATATCTCACCATCACCCTCATCATAAACTTATCCATCTCCTAACTAAACACACACTTCATATGAATTAACACAACTCATCACAATAGCTTTCTTTGCAAGATGGCTTAGTTCTCCCCACTTTTCAAACAAAGAAACTGAGGTGTTCAGAGACTCAGTTAAGTAATTTGCTCTAGCATAGCTAGCAAACAGCAGAAAGGGAGTTTGTATTCAGGGCTATGTAGATACTAGCACACACGCTCTCCATTTGTCACGTTCTTCACAATTTAAACACATTTTAAGACAGCTTCAAAGTGATGGTTGTAGGTTAGAATTCCAAGCCAGGCTTGTCTGACTCTTTCTACTGCATCACCAGTCTTTTATATTTTTAAAGACATGGCTTGATTAAGAAGCTACAAATTATGGGAACATAATTGCTTTCTATAGTCCCTGAACTTTTCTTTTTCAAGTGGCTGTACTCTAAGAGTTAAAGGGGTGCTGGATTCTCTAGCCTTCACAACAGGAGACACAAAGTTCTTGTCTTCACAGATCTTTTTCGAAATCAGAGCCCTGACATTCTTCTGGAGAGGTCTTTCATTAGGTTCTCAAAGTCCACAACTCCTTAAAAATCCATCACTACTCTGGAGAAGTGGCAAAGAAAGCATAGAGTACAGGCTCTTTATTTTAGTCTCCCTCTATCTCCATTCTGAAAAAAAGAGAGTAAGATCCAGCCCACTAGGTTTTCCAATAGCAGGGCAGGGTTTCTGGATTGAGAGAGTAAAGTTAACATTCTCCCTAATAATCTTTACCCCGAACAGGTTCTATGTTGTTTCAGTCCACACTGAAAACCTGACCTTGACAACAGAAGAGACCTTGTTCCTTTCTTCTTGACACTATGCCTACCTCAAAACCAGTTCTATTAAAGCTTCAAATATACCCTTCCCCTTTTTAGGGATGCAGGCGACGCAGTGGTCTATTATTCACTTACACATGCTTGAAGATGAGACTGTAAAAAACCCTATCTATCCCATAACACCAAATTAAATTATATACAGTACACCCATTCCCACCTAAATACCTTAACTTTGAACAAGTAAACATGTGAATTGGGCTAAAGCATAAAAATGCACTTATACATCTGTCTGGTGGACATCTACAATCTGGTTGCCATGGATTAAAAAAACAGATACATTTACAAATGTGCCTTTACTTTCTGAGAATTCACATTATGGGGATTCCAGTGACATAATGTATGCTTTAAAGCACTGTACCAACCCCATTAGGAGTCAAAGCCAAAGGCTCTCTCTCTATCACACCTGTACTCAAGATCTTTTGTAGAGTTTTCAGAAGCCAAGGTCACCTTTTATCACTTATGCGCCCCCCTCCAACACCATTGAAAGATGTTTCCTAATTTCCTAAGCAAACTTCAGTGATGAAGTAAAAATTAATCATTCTTTTTTAGGAGGAGCCAAAGAAACTCTATCAGGGCTTCTCATGATCATGAGGTGATCACATGGGATGGTTGTCCTTTCAGCTGAAAGAAATGAGTCAGCAAACCCCTAAATCTGAGATGTTTGCTTATGCAGACTCAGTTCTCAATTATTCCAAAAATATGAAAGAATACCTCCTCTTTCTATCAGCCCAATTAAAAAGCAGCAGGGAAAACCTCATTTTAAAAGTGCCAAATTTGTAGGCATGTTCATGAATTAAGTCAGCCTCCCACGGCCTCATCACCCCCTCTGGCATTCCAAATTCTTAGGCATCTCTGATTCCTTGACAATTGTGACCTCTTTACCCCCTACATTTCTCTTTGACCCTTTCATTTAATAACACTTCAGAACAAAACAAAAACAAAAACCTCTCTTCTTGGCTAAGACCACAGGCCCTCTGGAATCTACTTCTGAAATCTGATTTTGGAACCAAGCCCTTTTCTCTTTCTCCCTTCTGTGACCTAAGTGCCCCACAGTACAACAAAACTCTAGGGCAGATAGGATCTGAAGTGCTGCATTTACCACTGGACCCCGATGAACTTGCTGAGCTTTTCTAGTTGAAGTGTCTGCATAAACTCTTTGATTTGCTGAGCTCTTTATACCTGATTATCACTGTTCCAGACAGGAAGACAAAAACAGAAAAGTTTTAAAAGAAAATGGAAGAGGGAGTAGAATGACATGTTTGTTCTCTTTTAAGTCTAATAAATAGCAAGGTCCTACTTGTGACATTAATTCTACTGCTGCTTATGTTATACTTTTACAAAGTAAGCCTAAGGTTAATAAAAAAGGTTAAGAGAGGTTATTTCATAATTACTTGATTTAAGTTCTAAACAAATCCATTTTCACCATTAAAACTCCCCCAACAATGCAGCGCATGAATGAACATTCTTACCCTCACACAGAAGCTACATCTAGCTTGATTGGCTCAGCACGCCAAGTTGCCTATTTCACTAATGAGTTCTACCCACCTCAGTAGGAGGACAACATGTTCCTAACTACTGGACGCTGACACTATTTCCAGCTGTGCTAGTGAAATCACAGAAACGGCATTATTAGTTCTATTTAAAAACAAAAACAAAACCAAAAAAACAACCTATGAGGCAAACATTTTCATAATCAAGTCTTTGAAGAAAATATATACCTCTGTTGTTGAAGTTATATGCCATCAAGTCGGTTCCGATTCACAGTGACCCATATAGGGTTTCCAAGGAGCAGCTAGTGGGTTTGAACTGCTGAACTTGTGGTTTGCAGTTCAGTGCTTATTGTACAATGCCTCACCAGGAGTCCAATATATCTCTAGGAATGCTTTATTACTGATTACTTACAGATGCAGAGCATTTTGGGGATTTTTGCTTATATTTTATTCATGTTTCCCTTATAATCTCAGAAGAAGATTCAAGGTTCTGTCACAACAACCAGGGAGGGAATGCAGTTTGGGCTTGAAATTAAAAAACTACTAGTAAGGATTTAAAAACATCAGCTTCACCTCAAACATCACCAGAGACTAGTCACTTTTACTTGGAACCTTTCAAGTTTATAAGGCCAAGCAAGTCTAATATTTTCAAAATCAGGCTCTAAAAATGGTGTATCAGCCTAGAGTATATGATGATTTCCCTAGAGATACTTTCAATGGTAAGCCAAGCTAATGGTAATGCATCCCACTTTCTGGCATCTATGGAGAGGAAGGAAGGACTGGCACTTAGGAAAAAGGAAAAAGAAAAAGAGGTAGCCTACTTGAACTCAGTCTGACTTTTACTAAGAAAAAGTATTCTTACTGAGTATGGTGTCTTTTTGTGACTATCACAGGCTGAAGTGCCTAGGTTATTAACAAATGAAAATGCAAAGTATTTGAAAAGGTGGATTCTTCCCCAAACCTATGGAAGAAGAATGGACATCATCACCTCCTTACTGAACTGTCCCCACTTGTCACAGAAGTTTAGCGGGGCTGGAATGTCCTGTAACATGAAGGGTCTCATCAGAAAACATAACTTTCCATGCTAATTCTATTGCATCCCAGACAGAATTACTTTTAATTGTGGAAAACGTTAATTCTACTTTGTTGTTAGTTTTAAAACAAAAAACAAAACAATACAGGACCCTCTGTATTATTCACCTAGTGAGATGGTAGAATTCATTAGAGAAATAGTCAGCCAGGTATGCTGAGACAATCAAGTGAGATGGAGATGTAACAATAACTATAGCTTAGCTGAACTCGATTTGTTGAAGCAGTAAACTGGATGACTTCAGATTTTCACATTCTAGAGGTAACCATTTGCTCTCTGGCATTCAGTAGGACATTTACATAAATGAGAGTACCAAAGCGACTTTCCATTGGACACTTACTGTAAATACGGAAGCAGTATAAAACAGGAGCGGAAGAGTGGTCTCCTTTTTATTTCTCTCCTGAAGAAAGAGTTGTGGAGGATGTAGTGATTGTTCCACATCATAAATCGAACCTCTTTCAGACCCCGAGAGTTAGCTTCTTCAATCAATCGAATAACCGACTAAAACATTAGGTAAACAAAAAACAGTTAAAAAACAAAACAAAACACTATGAAAATATGAAAAACGTTAATATAACTAATAACTAACCAAAATAGCTAATCCTACCTCTTAATATCAGAGAAATCCCAATAGAGCAAGTCAAATTCATTCCCTTTAGTAAGTAGGGTTTTTTTTTTCCGGAGGGGGAGGAAGGCATGATGATACAGAGTGGAAAGATGCACCTAGTTTGGAAGAATATGTATGGACATCTTATGAAATATGAGGGCCAGGGAACTAGTCAATTTTAGTTGAGATTTTGACAATGTCCTAGAGATTTTTTTAGTCTGTATTTCTTAAGGAACTTTCTAGAAGAGGAATTAAAGATGATAGTGTATGAAGTTCAAATAAACCAATTAAGTTCTACGTCTAAGAAATATCTCTGAAGAGAAATACAGGGATAGTTCTGAAAAGACAAATAGCTTCTTATTTTTTTTGGAAGGCTGATACTGATTATTTAAAAGTCAAAATTTTAGTTTAAGAAAGTGTTTTATAGCAACTAACATACTAGGTTCTCTTCCTCTGCTATTTCCTTAAACCAAAAAAACAAACTATAAAGAAGTAAGATAGATAGGTAAGTTAGTTCTCCCTTTTTTGTAATTCTTGAAATGAATTTAATCAGAGAAGTCAGACTTTTGGGGTATAAAATCTTGAAAGTCCATTTCATTTAAGCCTTTTGCTTTATGCTTGATGAGCTGTTATTATTATACTAGACTAAGGATGTAAGCTCAAGTAAGACAAGAGTTTTGCATGACTGATTTTACTTGACCACCACTAATAAATATGTTCAAATCCTTCTCCCAGGGGACTGAGACAGACTTGTTTTCTACTAGACTTCTGAAATGCTCAGTGTAGCACACTCATCTGTCCCCAGCCAGAGCCTGAAGTGATCCCGGTGCTCATCTCATTACAATGGCTCCACAGGTAGCACTGAGTCTGAGGAGTATTTACCACTGGAAAGACTTGATCTCTACCTACAGTGGTGACATGAGAGTAGAAATCAACTCAATGGCAACTGGTTTTATAAGATGAAATTTGGGGGGAAACATTTTGTTCCGCTGATAATAAAGATATTCTATTATGGATACCGGCAGATTAATAGGAAGATACATTTTTTGGAAAATTAAGTATTATCAACAAGACTCAATTTTAATTCATAAGCTCTACAATTATGATTTATAGTTATCTACTCATAGTTCGAAAGAAATAACAAAAAAAAGGGCAGTGAATGACAAAGAAATTTAAATGCAGTTTTTTGAAAAAGAACCTATAAATACCTCGGGATATTCTCGCCATCCAAAGTGGTCCCTACAGAAGAATTTCCAAACTGTGTGGTAAATGGAGTTGACATTGCTACTGGGTGGTGTGGACAGCCTTCGTAGTTGGTCAAATTCAGTTGTTTCATAAACATTCATGGCATTTAAATCTGCCAAAAATTCTTGTCCACTAAAAGAGTCAAAAACAAACTGTTAATATTACTTTTGCACAGATATGACTCAGCATCTCATTGGACATTAAAAATAGGATAGCTTTCAAAGTTAGCTTACTTTGAATAAAAAGCACAACGTAGTGGATTACAAACTGGACTGCTAACCACAAGGTCAGCAGTTCGAATCCATCAGCGGCTCCATGGGAGAAAGATGAGGTTTTCTGTTCCCATAGGAAATCGTAAGTCAGTATGAGTAGAAACTAACTCTGTGGCAGATCACTACCACCACCCATCATCCACTGCCTATGTTCCCTTTTGAACAAGACCACAAATTTTCTAGCCATACAGTTTTGAAAGGATTGATTTTACCCCATAAATCACTGGCCTAAACCAATCAACATAATCCCATTCTCCAGTGGGGAAAGTCTCAGTCAAACTCAGGTCTCAATCAAATATGGAAAAGTGTTAGGATGGCGCTAACACTGAAAGTCACAGTGAAACAAAAGAAACTTCTATTGAAGCTTCCTTTTTTTTTTGGTCAGATACGTCACTACCTAAGTCAACACAAGACACACAATATTGCCTGATAAAAGACAGAGGTAAAGAAAAAGCCTCCAGATGAGGCCCAGTACTATTAATCCACCCAACATCAATGAACAACAGGTTTATGGCAATGTGAAATTTGGCAACCATAATGCATGGTGGTTAAAAAACATGATTAATACAATTAATATCACTAAACTGTACATGTGGAAAATGCTGTTACATATATATATGTAACAGCATTTTCCACATATACAATAGAGAGAGAGAGAGAGTGTGTATGTGTGTGCGTGAGTACTGGTGTGGTTCTGTGGGTTAATGCCCTGGACTTCAAAGTCAGTTTGAACTGCAAGGTCAGCAGTTCAAGCTCACAGGTTGCTCCTTGGAAACCCTATACAAGGTCACTATGGGTCAGAACTGACTCAACGACATGTAACAACTATATATATACACACATATATATACATACACACACAAATAATAAAAAGGGGGAAAGTTGGCAAACTATGAAGAGAGAAATAATTTGACTATGTGGTTTTGCTCTGAGAATATTCTGTCAATGTTCTGCTACTGTACAATGAAAACATCTGAATTTCTTGGAAACGGAACTTTATCCAGTGTTTGAAATATCTGAAGAATTATGTAAAATAAGCACATTTAAAATTATTTTAAGACTGGCAAAATGTTCATTATGCTCCTCTCTTTTCTTTTAGTGTATGCTCAAAAATTCCCCTATGAAAATATAAACAAACTAAATAGTTTATAAATTAACACCACAGATATTAACAGAGTGACTAAATTACAGAATACATTCCCCTCAACCCTGAAAAGGTCACCCTTTCTCACAGTTGGTTTCTAAATGGACATCTGTAGCACATGGAATTCTCCAGTCCAGCGAGCATTCAAAATGACTGGTACAGGTCAAATTCAGACTTTCCCAACAATTACTATTTCCTTGCTATAAATCAAGATTCTGAAGAATACTAATTTTAGCCTATGTATTTTGTTGATTTCCAAACTCTGTTCCTGGGACATTTGTTTTAAGAATGGTTAGTAGGTATTCTGTGCAAAAGAAGATTCCTTTGGTGATGTTTGAAAACTACCTCTTTACATATATTTAAATAATTTACATACTATAGCCTCTCCTCAGCACTTTTAATATGCTATCAAAAATACTGAAACAGCATGAAGAGGGATGTATAGTGTCCTTCCAAACTCAATAAACACTCTGGCAAATATCTTTCTGACTCTCCCATTAAGAAGGATAACTCTGGGGGGCACAGTGGGTTAAAAGTGTTGGCTAGTGGTTCAAACCCACTGGCCTGTCTATGGGATAAGAAGGCAATCTGCTGCCATAAAGATTTAAAGGCTCAGAAACCTTTTAGTGAGTTCTACTCTGTCCTATAGGGCTCACTATGAATCAGAAGCCACTCAGGTTTGATTTCTGACACTGGTATTTTAAACTCAGGTTCTATTCTTTGGGGGAAGCCAACTCAAGTTACATACCAAATCTGTGCCAAGAAGCACAAAACTTGTAAAAACAAACAAACAGCAAAAACAAACAAACACCCAGTTGTTGCTAAATGCCGTCAAGTCAGTTCTGACTTACAGCGACCCTGTATAGGATTTCTGAGGAGCAGCTGGTGGGTTTGAACCATCAACCACGTGGTTCGCATTCCTGTGCTCATCCTATAGCATCACACCAGATATTAGAGCTTTCTTACTTAATAAAGATCTTTCTCTAATAAAGACATTAGAGCTTTCTTACCTAAAAATAAAAAAAAGTACTAAATGGCACATGGAGTCCTGGTGTGGTGCTGTAGGATAAGCACTGAAATGGTAATCACAAGGTTCAATCACAAGGTTCAAGCCCACACCTGCTACTATCTGTGCAAGGTAACTATGCATCAAAACTAACTCAATGGCACTTAACAACAACTGACAGAGGTAGGATTTTTTTTTTTTTTTTAATTGTATTTTTCGTGAAAGTGTGTATGTAGTTTTAAAAAGAACATAATTTCAATCCAGGATAAATGAGAATAAGATAATAAAATTTATTTTAAAACCACATTTAATCACTGCTTTGTATGGTAAAAAGTATGTTTAATTCAAGTGGGAAAACTTCCTATGAAGTCCTTAAAAACCATAAACAAATACAACAAAAATACACAAAACTGTAACTCTTTAAACTTTGTATGAGGGATGCCTTAGATAACTTTCATTTAACTTTAGGAGAATGTGATGTTAACATTGGGAAGACAGGTATTAACTTCTTTCTCCCTCTTAAGATCATTTCTAGTTTTAAAAGCAGATTTCCCCCTTTTAAAACTATCTTCCTAGCAACTCTTCCCAATTATAAGTTAACAAATCCTCAGTATTTCCTTTTAGGAGTTCTTAGAACAGCAATCATTAATTACATGAACATTCATTATAATTTACACAGCCAATGTTTTTTGCTGTTAAAAGTGTCAGATTTTATTCTGGACATTACTCAAGCAATTTCTATTTAAGCCTGTGTCATTATGACTCAGTAGATAATGATTTACAAGACAAAGACATCTACAACTGCCGCTTTTGCTACATTCTCTGTATATTTCAATCCCTAGGGCATTATGAAATTCCAATGACAAATCCTAATTTACTACAATCAATCTTCTTTGGATTGATGTATCAAAGTACTGTTTTAGCTCTATCTGAGTCTTAATAGCTTTTCTAGACTTGAGAGACAAATCAACAAATTTGAAAAACATTAAATTATCTTTTTATAAGATTAATCTTACCACCTGCTCTCTCTTAAACAGAGAATGAATTAAGAATTTAAAGCCAAGTGTTTCCCTCCGCCTCAATCTGCATCAGGATAAATGCATGTAATACCAATGCCAAGTGTTCAACATCTATCATTCTTTCTTCATCAAACCATTACTTCCTATTATCAGAAAGCAGTTATGAGTCATCTATGTGTGGTAATGGTGCTGGTGGGTTGTATTAGGCAACATACAAAGAATTAAACAGATGCAGTCCCCAGTTTCTAGGGGCTTCTAAAAGAGGAAAAATCAACAAGATGAAAAACAAAAAAGCTGTACATCTGTCTAACTAAAGTTATCAGTAGCAAGTACATTCCAGGAATGAGAAAACAAATAATAGACATGAAGTATTATGAAAGAGGAGGTGGCTACTGGAACCCAGGAATGGAAAAAAGTCAGAAAAGTAAGAGGCTTTATTATAATTCAGGATAGTTTGTGTAAGATAAAGAATTTTAGAAGCATTTTAAATAATGGGAACTATCACCACATGTGAAGGGCTGTGTAGAAACTAAAAAAGAAAAAGAGCTCTTCAAGCACTTTACTTCTTGGAAGGAAAGTGGGAACACGAGTGGGATAATTGGAAAAGGAGACTTTCTAAACAGGGGTACATGTGGTTGATGTTGTTAAGTAGCTGTCAAGTCAGTTCTGACTCATAGCGACCCTCTATAGGATTTCCGAGGAGCCGCTGGTGAGCTAGAACCGCCAACCTTGCAGTTCAAACCAACTTTGCAGTCAAGGGCATTAATCCACAGTGCCACACTAGGACTCCAAACGGATGCATAGAGATGAGGAAAATGAGCTAAGGTATAACATACAATGTGAGACAGATCAGACCATGAGCTGAGGAGATAAGCGCAGGTTCATAGTGTCTTAAGGTGTAAGGGTGGTGCTTTACAGTATTAAACAAATAAAAATAAAAGAGTCTAATAAATCCACCAGTCATCTGTCAAGTTTGTTGCACGATAGTGGCAGGTATGTAGCTGTGGTAATAGACGCTATGCCACTGGTATTTTAAATATCAGCAGATTAACTCATGGTAGACATGCTTTAGCCAAACTAAGACTAGGCAAAGAGATGGACCAGTTCTGCGTAGTTTATTGTTGCTGTTGTTAGGTGCCATAGAGTTTGTACCAACTTATAGCAACCCTCTGCATAACAGAACGAAACACTGTCCAGTCCTGCACCAACCTCAATTGTTGCTATGTTTGAGCCCGTTGCTGCTGCCACTGTATAAATCCATCTCTGACCCTCCACTTTACCAAACATGATATCCTTTCTCCTGTTATGTCCAAAGTATGAGAGATGAAGTCTGGCCCTTCTGGCTTCCAAGGAGCATTCTGGCTGTACTTCTTCTAATACAGATCTATTTGTTCTTTTGGCAGTCCATGGTACTTGTAACATTTCCCACCAACACCATAACTCAAATGCATCAATTCTCCTACGGTCTTCCTTATTCATTGTCCAACTTTCACATGCATATGAAGTTACTGAAGGCTATGGGTTGGGTCAGGTGCATCTTATTCCACAAATTGACATCTTTGCTCTTCAACACTTTAAAGAGGTCTTGTGCAGCATGCATATCTGCCTAATGAAATACGTCCTTTGGTTTCTTAACTGCTAATGATTGATCTGAGCAAAACTGTCTTTGACAACTTCAATCTCTTCTCTAT